CTAACATTAAAGCTGTAGTTAGATTTTTTTCCTAATATTGAAAATGCTATTTCTTTGAAACTCAGTTCATTTCTTTTGCATCCTTATCAGGTAAAGATAGTCAGTAACTATCTGTCAAGAGTAATATAAATTTCCCTCCCTCAAAATATCAGTTAATTCTTTTTCAAACAATTTTAATTGTTGCCATTTGAATTTCTTCACTGAAAATAAATATTGTCTGAGAATATTTCTCAATCACAACAAAAATGCAGACAATAGAAAATGCAAACAAGACAGAAACTTAAATTGCACTAATATTAATATAATAGACCTAATTTGGGGGATTTAAAAGCTAAAGCTTTGTTGCACAGTGCTAGTTTGAACAATTTCCCTAACCCTAACTTGCTTTCTACAGTTGCAAGACTTAAGGGTTTCATTGGCAGAGAATCTGGCTTAGTGACAACATAAATTTGGCAGGTTCTTGGAAACCTTTAGTTTTGTAGATTGAAACTGCAGCTTGTTGATGCTGATAAGCCTTGCAATTTACTTATGTTCTATCATCTTGTTGGAATCATTAGCTACTCTTTTAAAGGAGGCTAGAATTGTATTGCAAAATATTTTCCCTTTGTAGTCACATTGTTGTAGTTTACCAAAACTTTGAGAAGTCCACTAGAAAAAAGTTCTATCCAATAATACCTTTGATTCCACTCTGACGTTTTTTATTCTCAAATTGCCAGAGCCTTCATTTTGATAAAAATTTTTCCTAATTTTAGTTTGCATGAAAATTGATAAATATCTGAAAAACGTAATTATAGTCATGTTTAAAGGGCATCAGGAGAGGTGCTCTGATTTCTGAAGTAAAATGGGCAGGAGGGTGGTGAGGCTTGGTAAAAGAGAGTAGAGAGAGACCAATAGAGACAATGAGAAGAAAGAGAGGCATTTTTTAGTCTTTCATGAAAAAAGAAATTGATTTGTGACTGAAATTATTGTACAAAACAGCTCTGGCAGGCAATCCAGGCCCTATGCAGCATGCTGTTCTCAGAAATTCAAAGTCAACTTTAAATTATTGCAGAGAATGAAACAAGAGTTAAATAGTCACCTGAAGAACCTCTAGCTGCAAATTTCAGCAAAAAACCATCCATCCACATCTCCACAGCAAATATATTGAGGAGGCCTCTTGAGTTCCTGAAGCTGAATTTTGTATTCTTTTCTGATATAACCTTTGACAGGTTACTTGACATAGAGTGCCACACTTCTAGAGCAATGAAAATGTCATCACTTGCAGGCACAGGTATCATTTCATAGAAGTAATGTAAATAAATATATTTATTACCAGCAGAGGGAAAAGAGAGGCTTTGCATGCTGATTTTGGAGAAGGAGAGAGTGTTGTAATTTAAAACAGAGATGATTGCAGTAAACTGACTCTTGGATTTAAATTACTTTCAATGGTCATTCTGTGCTTGGTGAAAAGTGAGAATATTGGAATTTGATGCTATAAGTATTAGAGAGATTGGTGATAAATTAAAAAATATATCAGAAAAATCTATAATTGTTTGCTTTCCCACCTCCCATGGAAGAAAGTACACAATTTAAACCTGTGCTGCTAAAGATAGGATTTATTTTTTTTTCTTTCAAGTATAGAAAAACCAACTGTCTTAAATCCCAATACAGCAGTACAATTGTTTTCCTTTTCAAAAATTCTTTCAGTTCTTGAACATATGCATATGTTTTGACACTGTGAAATAGAGTCCCTTCTGTGCACTTCTTTGCCTAATGTTATGCCATAAATGTATTTCAATATCTCTGTTGTCTTTTTTATTTACCATTGAAATGGCTATACAGTTTCATTGTGTGGCTAGATCATAATTCAGTAAAATATTCCTCTTACATTGTGCTTTAGAATGTTCTCTTATTTTTAATAACTACAAAAGGGCTTCAAGGCACATTTACATATAAAGAATGCTTTTCTATTAAATTATTATTTCAGGATGAGTTTTCCTTTTAGAAATTTAGCTCAAAGGTGACAGTGATTTTGTCACTCTTGTCATCTAGCAGGCTGCTTAAAACATTTCACTCACAATGTTTCTGTCGTAATCATATATTTATTAGATTTGGAAATGTGTTTCAAGTTGATAAATAACCATGCTTTCAACTTGAAACACTCTTAGTAGAAAAGTACACCAAAGCATGTCTTCAAATACAAGAAACGAGAGTTATGACTTATAAGAAGTCTTAGTAAATCAACCATAAGAGACTATTTACAAAGCTTGTTTAAAATTTGACTTTAGGGAATTTCAGTAGAATGAGGAAACATTTAGTAATTTTTCTTCTCTCCAATACTTACACAAACATTTTTTTTTTCTGAGCAGAATTGTGTCCTTGACAGGCCACATCATTGCTATTTTTCTTGTTGTTTTATGCAACGGGCCCCAAACCTGACATTATTATTATGATTAGGAATAAAATCACTATTAACAATAATAGAGGCAGGAGATAATTCTTATAACTACAGAGATCACAAGATACAAGAACACCTTTTAAGAATTCAGTCTTTAATGGACTGACAACTTAGTTTTGCAAAGGCTGTCCCATGTGTGCTTAAAAATTCTCCCTCTGCCTGCCTGATACTCTTTCACACAAGGGATCAGATCACCTGACAGCAACAAGAAGCATAATTTTGGGAATCCTAGCATAAGTGTCAGATGTGTATTCCCTAAGTCTTGGCAGATTTTATCTCTGTAAGTCAGTGTAAGCTGTTGCTCCATTTATTAGTGTTTCTCAAAGTATGAATCTCAGACCACTTTCCTTAAAATTACCTCAGGTGATTTTTAAAAATGTGTTTAATTGGGTGTCCCTGAAGATCTTCTGAATCTAAATTAATCCCAGGAAAAATGTTGTTCTATACATTGAATCTATATGAGAAGAAGAAGGGGAAAAAAAACTATTTCCATATATTACTGCTGATTTGCAGTAAAAACCTAAATTTGACAGCATTGGACCATTGATTCCATTAACTACTGATTGAACCACAATTTTTGCCTGATGCTATCTATGTTAAAGGCCAAGTATAAACTGTTCAATAAGAAGAGGTATGTGCCCTAAACTTGGGGATTTCTCAAGTTAGGAAACAAAAATAAAATAGTAACACAAACAAATATGATATTGCAATTGGGATAATCTGTACAATGAAGTCCATATTGTAAGGGAGATTAAATAGTAAGCTAGAATGCTTTGGAAAGTTAAGAATGCCTCTCTAAGGGAGTCAAGCCTTTAAGAATAGAAAAACAATTAATAGATAACAGATGAATCGGAGAGGGAAGAATACATCAGGAAGAAGGAACATCATTTGCAAAGGACCTGTGGTAGGAGAGAAAATTAGAAGAACTACCACAGACTAAGAGAAGGATGGAAAATTAAGTACAAGGAGAGGTCGAAAGAATAGAATCTTGGCTGAAAATCCTTGAAATTAGCAAAACCATCCCCTAACAAGAAAACTTCAGAAGTCTAATACTCTCATGTTTTAGGTATGTTATTTTTTTATGTATATTCTTTTCTCCATTAAAAAATGAAAAAAAAAGAAAAGAAAATGTAAAGTTGATTAACAGAATCAAAATGACTTTGTGCTATATGTGACAGTCTAAAATAGCACATATTTGTACTGAAAGGCAAACATTGTTTGTGTTAAGCATCAATGTTTTTTTTATAGGTCATTGGTTATAGCTTCCATGGAAGTTTTTAGTTTCTTCCCACCTCAGTCTACCTTGGCATAACATGAGACTTAATGACTCAACATACTGAAGCTTAACTTAGAGACAATAAGCCCTTCACATTGAAGTTCAAATGTCCTGCACTCAAGTTATTTTTAAATATTTCTTACTCATGGCTAGATGAGGTGACAAATAGGCCTCTACATATATAAACAGTTGCAATTTTTGTGTCATGGTCATAGGATATCACCTTGGAATCTTTATTTCAACACATTTTTTAAAAATCAGATGTTTTTAGAATATTATTTTAAAATATATAGCAATTTTCCTCTGTTCATACAAACCTAGAATTTGACTTATGCAATTCTCTGAATGCTGGGGAAATTTTATCATTTTATTCATAATCTGTACTAAAAAGGAAACTGAGTCTTACCTTTTATTAGTGAATTTTTTTTCCTCTTTCCACATTTTTATTGGTGTACTATAGTTGTACATAAGGATGGGATTTGTTGTTACATATCCATATGTATACACAATATAACAATATAATTTGGACAATATCCTTCTTATGTCAACATTTATCAAAACGAATCTGATGGAAGACAACACCTCAGGACATCAGGGGCAATTTATTATAAAAGACTCCCTAGTCAAATAAGTTTGGAACAACCTTGAATCACTTGGTCTTCTTTTAAAAGACATTTCACAGCATTTAACAAAGAAATACGCCTTGTAATTCTCCCAGATGAGATATATATCAAGTTTCTTAAACTCATTTGTCCATATAATTCTGTCTTATTTTCTGAAAAACATTATATAGGACTAGTATTTTAGGGACAAAATCAGGGACATGCTGCCTTCTGCCATGTTGTTGCAACTCCCTACTCAGGAGTGTGAAGGGTTTCCCAACCTCATGTCACACAGCAACACAAGTAATAGGATAGCAGTAGCACAGAGCATCACTAACAACACTGAAATATATATCAGCATAACCTGCTGTCAGAATTAGACAACAGACATCTCTGAACGACAACAAGTGGTCTGGCTCCAGTCAAGAAATAGAAGCCATATAGTAAACTAAACAAGAAATGTTAGTGTAAGATCTTACAACTGTAACTCAAATAAAACAAAACAACGCACAAGACTTTCAGATATAAGGCAAAACTGTATGGTAGCCTAAGATTGAAGGATTGACAAACTTGAAAAGGATCCTGGCAGCTTAGAGAAGGTATGGGTCAGCCCATATCTTGTTGGTTAGCCAGGTGATTTAGCCAGGCTAGTGCTGGTCTGCAGTTTCTAGAGAAGCAATAGACCATGGGCCTGAGTGTACATGGAGCAGACAATCAGCAGTTGATGGCAAAACCAGGCTTTGGGAATCAGAGTACCTGTCTTGGCCAGAGACCTTCAGAACACATAGACTATCAGATTTATAGAGGGAGCAGCAATCTATGTTTATCTCTTGGGGTACAGGGAGGCTGCATGCAGGATGCTCAGGAGTTTACAGAATCAAAAGCTGTTCGCTGTGTGACCCTCTAGGTTATAGACAGCTATATGCCTTACTACTTATGTCACTTAACAATGTGCATGCAGGTGATAAAGCTGATGTTTTCCTCCTTCCACAAATAGAATAAAACTTGGAGTAGTGATTACCAGATTATTTATCTGTTAGGTGCCAACTTTTTATTTTTGAAATTATTATACATTCACAGAAAGTTGCAAAAATAATAACAGTGATCTCATGGATTATTTATACAGTTTTCTCTAGTAATAACATCTTACATAACTACAGTACATTATAAAATCCAGGAAAATTATATTAGCATAGTGTGTCCATATCTAGTTCTATACCATTTATCATCACCAACACCACAATCTACAGAATTTTTCTACTTCCACATAGTCAACTCCCCACATTATAATTCCTAGTAACCACTAATCTGCTCTGCATATTCATAATGTCATCATTATAAGAAAGTTGTGATCATGAAATTATATTTTTATGTCACTTTTGAGATTGGGTTTTTTTCATTCAGCATAATACCCTTACATATGTAGTTGGACAATATTTTTTTATCTACCCTACAAATCTTTTGTAATTGGTTTATTTAGATCATTTACATTTCATGAAATAATTGAAATAGTGGGGCTTACATCTAACATTTTAGTTTGTTTTCTCTTTGTACCCTCTTTTCCATGTTGCTGTATGGGTTAATTGAATATTTCTTAGAACCAAAATAGGTTAATCTATTATGATTTTTAGCATACCTCATATATGATAGATATTTAGATGTTTTCTCTAAGTATTTTATATATATATATATATACATGTATACATATAAGCATGTATATATACACACACACACACACACACACACACACGTATAAATGACTGAATCCCTGTAAGCACTTCTTTAATGTGAGTAGTGTTGAGCATTCTCATATATAATACTTAGATAAACCATCTGAATATGCATCATAGATATGTTAAAATCACATATAATATTTATGTTAAATATAATAAATATATGCCTATATGTATAATATATGTAGATCTTCTCATAATCTATTAGCATTAACATTTTAAAAGTTTGAATTAAGTGTAAAATTTTTACTGAGTTTATTTCTTTATCTTTCCTAGTTATAACATAACTATATTAAGTAGCTCCTCTATATCTAATGAAAACTACATCAGTTAACATTATTACACATTTTGTTTCAACTGTCAACCCTAATTTAAAAAAAAAAGAGGTATAGTGTATGTATCCATGAGTTTACTCTTTCTGTTCTTTCCTCCTTCCTGATGTTCCAAGAGTATTATTACTATTTGTTATTCCCTTTGTTTTTCAAGAACTCCCTTTAGCCATTCTGTTAGGACAGATTTATTTTCGCTAAATCCTCCAAGTGTTCCTTTTCTGAGAATTCTTTATTTTCTCTTCATTTCTGAAAGTTAATTTTTCCAGATATAGAATTTGGGGCTGGTAGTTATTTTTTTAGCACCCAAAAAAGTGTTCTACTTCCTTCTGGTTGCCATAGTTTCTGATAAAAATCTGCTGCATTTGATTTGTTTTTCCTCTTGGGCAAGGTGCCCTTCCTTTCTCATTGCTTTTAATAATTTTAACACAATGTTGTTTTCTGAAATGTGATATGATATTTGTGGGGGTTAGTTCACCTTCTTGAATCTTTAGATTTATGTATTTTGCCAAATTCAGTGAGATTTCAGTCACAGTTTCTCTGAATACTTTCTCAATGATGCCATCTTTCTTCTGTTTTTCCAATATTCCACGATATTGACATTGATGTTAGGTTTCTTTTTTTCTTTTTTTTTTTTTAAATAATCCCACTTGTCCCAGAGGTTCTGTGGCTCTATTTGTTTCCCTCTGTTTTGTGTGTGTTGTTCAGATTGAGTGATTTTTCATTTTTATCAGTTTATCTTAATATTCACTCATATTTCCTTCTGTTCTTTCTACTCCATTGAGGCCATCCAGCACATTATTAAAATTTAGCTATTTCTATCTCAATTCTGAAGTCTCCATCTTTTTCTCCTTTATATCTTCCAGTTTCCCTAAGCTATTGCATTTAAAATTTTTGTAATCATGTTCATAATTCCTCAGGAAAGCAATTTTACATTGGCAACTTTAAAAACTCTTTTGTCAGATGATTCTGACATCTCTGTGATCTCAATGTTGGTGCCTGTTTTGCTTATAGTTTTTATTGTTGTTTTAGTTTTTCTTCCCTCCCTTCAAGTTTAGAAGAAAACTTGATCAGAGTGACCCTTTCTCTTGGTCAGGGTGATTTCCAATTGTATCCTGTATTCTTTTCTATTGTATTACAGATTCTGAGTCTTAAGTCTGTTTCAGAAGAGGGGAGTTGCCCTGCTATTGCCAAATTGAGTTAGAAATCTAGTTTCCCCAATTAGCCTCCTTTGGCTCTTAAGAGTGGGGGGCTCCCTTATTGCTGGGTGGAAGGGGTATTTCAGGTTCCTCACTAATATTCTATCGGAATCACCCTGGCTAGCTGGGAAGAGGAGAGGCTCCTCTTGACTGCTCTCCATGTGGCTGCCAATGACAACCCACTAGAAGGAAAGTCTGGTGCATGAGGTGGGTGATGGTGAAATGTCTTCTGATATAAACAGAGTAGGGGGAAAATGAGTAGAAGACAGAGATAGGAATAGGATTATTATTCCTAGGATAAAGAGAATAGGATTTATTAGTCACTGTGAAATCTAATATACAGTAAAGAGGGGGAATTTTGATATTTTTAAATTCACACATTAAAATTGTGTGTTACCACTAGGTGGAACAGAAGTACAGGGTGGCCCCCACTGATATCTTTGAGAAGGACTTGGAAACAATCAAATGGGACTAAAAATCCTGCTACCTACTAAGTGTTCTCTGACACCATGCTAGTATGTGGGGCAGGGAATAGCAAAGGTATAAATGATCTAGACTCACTTCCTTCCTTTGGTGATGGGAGTGGGGGTTTAGTTGCAGCTCTTGATTGGTGTTTTTCCAAAGATCCAAAGATCAAAACTGTTCTGTCTTTCAATTTGTCTTTCTTTGACTAGAGGAAGCAAAATTTTTCTGGGAAAAGTTCTTTTCTCTGAAGTTTCTGGGCTACTCATTCTTCTATCAAGCAGTACTGTACATGTGAAGCAAAAGGCAAGTCCAGGGGTTCCACTGCCATATTGTGACTCAGGTTCCAAGGCCTCTTGACAACTCACCTTTTCACTCACTTTCAATGGCTTCTTAAATTAATTGTTAAATAAAAGCTCCAGGGTTTTTAGCTGTATTCAGTGAGATAAATTGATAGGTTTATGTTTAGCCTATCTCAGTGTTACTTTTTTGGATCCCATTTTCAATAGGAGAAAATGACTCTCCTCTCTGGCTTGCCAATTTTTCTTTCTATCAGCCTTCCTTTCCTAACTATGCAAGGTTGGCTCAGAAATAAATCTTCCAATAAATAATCTCATGAGATCACTATTACCAGCTGTGACAGTTTCTCAAACATCCCATGTTAATAAGATCTTTTCTGTATTCCATTTATCCACACAGGAGACAGACATTAACAGCATATGTTGATTAAATTCTCAACATATGCTGATCAGTTTCCTGAACAGATATTCAGGTCTTGTTTGGTGCTACTGTTTAATTGAGACTTTCCATAGTAAGGGACTAATCCAAACTTATTAATTAACAATGTTATTAAAGCCAATTTTTCCAGACTGTTTAGTCTATGGATTTGTGTCTTAAAACACTCAATTTCTTTTCCCAAACACTCTGATCTAAGAGGATCATGAGTGGTGTAAATGTTTTAGTAATTAAAATGATGTTGTTTTAGCCAGAGATAGAGATAGGAATAGAATTTATTAGTCACTGTGAAATCTAATATACAGTAAAGATGGGGAATTTTGGTATTTTTAAGTTCACACATTAAAATTGTACGTAATTATGGAAAACATGTGATATTTATACATACACGCACATACACACACACACACACACACATATATATATATATATAGTATAATATTCAAATCAGGGTAAGCAAAGTCTTCAAACATTTATTATTTTTTGTGGTGAGAACATTTAAAGTCCTTTCTTTTTGCTTTTATAAAGAAAATCAATACATTATCATTATCTATATCACCCGACTATGCAATAGAAAAAAACAGAAAGACTTGATCTTATTCATATATGGACTCTAAAGCTCTTGGTTTTACAGAAGATGAGAGTAGAATGGTGGTTACCAGAGGCTGAGGAGCATAGAAGTAAAGAAGAGAAAGGGAAAGATTGGTCAAGGAGTACTAAGTCACACTAGAAATTTCACATGGATTATCTAATGCATCCTCAAAATAAATACTTGATGCATATTTTACTAATAAAGCTTTCTCTAGGTAATCCAGATAGTAAAACCAAAACTGGGACAGAACTCCTGCTGTAAGTTCAGTGCTTGCCAACTGTCCCACAAAAGACTAGTATACCATTAAATCAAATTAATGGGGGTAAACATTGTTTTAAATGAAAGATCAGAGTAGAAAATATTAACAGACATTTTTACATAGTAAGGGAAAGTATTATTTAACAAAAGCTATACTTTGTTTATATGTATTTATATATTTATTAATCTAATATATATACTAAGTCCCAATGCATTAAACATTTTCCATACATGGCTGGCAGGCAAAGTCTAGGGCTATTGTGTTAGGTGACCTTTTGATATACTTCCAAGACTTACTCTATAATATAGTTTATCATAGCCATTGTGCTAATACTTTTCCAGGAAAATACATCATACTTTAAGAGTAATATTTACTTTTTAAAGCCCCAAACTTGCAATGCATAATCTCTGGGCTAGAATAGAAAGTAGTTAACACACACACACACACACACACACACACACATATATATATAAATGTATATATATATATATCAAAAGTTTATGTTAGCATGTAACTTTGCAGCCCATAATTTAAGTGTGTGTGTGTATATGAATGCATACACCTATGTTTCTGGTAAAAGTATATTTACCCATTTAAAAAATGATTTTAGATGTTGATGGACCTTAATTTCATTCATTTGTTTATATGTGGTGCTCAGAATTCAACCCAGTGCCTCACACGTAATAGGCAAGCACTCTACTACTGAGCCACAACCCCAGCCCCTTGTTTTTCTTACTACACACTACAAAACTCTAAAACAAGATGAGATTCCAATTAGTTTCACAATGAATGAGAACTGAGCATTTAAATTAAAAAAAGCCTTAAGCTTCAGTGGTTAGGAGAGCAGATTCTTTAGTTGCATAAATGTATTTCAAATCGAGGCTTTGTCAGTAAGAACCCTGGACCAACTATCATGCAATTCGATTTTCTTACCTGCACAATTTTAGTAATAGTATGAACCAACTTGTGTGTGATAATGTTGAGGATACACTGGGGTGTGCATATAGAGCTACTATTAAAGTTTTTGCTTTAGAGCAAAAACTTAATAATTGTTACCTATTAGACTATGATTTCTGAAGTAAGACATTTGCAGAAACCAATAATTTCAAAAGAAATCCTAAACTGACACAGGCAGGAATGACCCCTTTTGCTTCATTGCCTTTTTCATAAATTGCCCTTTTATCAGAGTATACTAAATAATGAATTATCAAGGCTGATTTCACATAGAAGAGAAAGGAAGAAAACCATGTTTTCCTAAATCCTGTCTCTTTATTTAAATTGCCACATCTGTATAAACCATTCCCCTAATAATGTGTTTATTCTAGCTTAACTGGCATAACCTTTGAGGTCAAGTCAGGAGCCAGATATCATATAGCAAGACTCGGTACTCCTGAAAGGGGTGTCTTGAAAGTGACTAAGATGTCTGAGCACATTTTTAATAATTAAAAAAAAAATCTCTTGACATTGCAGGACAACCTAGAGCCACCCCTGTTTCCAATTCAGAAGGGCTCCCTGAACCTCCTGAGGCAGAAATGGGAATCCAGTGATTACCAAAGAAGTGAGTGTTGTCCTGAGAGCAGCCGTTTCAGGCTCTTGCAGCTTCAGGAAAGCAAACTGCTTGAGCCCAAAGGAGAGGAGCCATCAGCACCTGAACCTCTCCATCCCTCAAGACTGCCTTGCAGAGCACAGGAAGAGACAGTGAGTACAGAGCCTAGAGAGAAGGGGCCTGAGCACAAAAGTGACCACTCCAGGGAACACAGCCGTCCTGAAGTGCTGAAGGAGGACTCCCTGACCAGTCGACGCAGGATTGAGCGCTTTTCCATTGCCCTTGATGAGCTGAGGAGTGTCTTTGAGGCTCCCAAGAGTGAAGACAAACCAGTTGGACCAGCTGAATATGACCGAAAGGTAAGGAGCTATACATTGAGAGTCTCAGTTTATATTTGACCAGCCAGGCAGTTTGCCCAACCTGCTATTTATTTCTAAGTATGTAATGCTTTCTTTCCCCCCCCCCTCGCCTGTACTCTAGACAGATGTCTGGAAGCAATCATTTAATACAGTGTGAAGTGCAGCATCCTCTATTATTGACTTCCACTATGGTCTGTTGTAGTGAGGATCTGACCTCCTTCTACTCCCACAAAAACAATTCTGATGTGTCCTCTTATGTTGGTATTTCTTATGTACGTGCCTTGTTTGCACAATTAGGGTACAAATTCTTAGAGGCAAGGGCCATTCCTAACCATTCTTTGTATTTCAAACATTTGACAACGGTGCTGCTTTTGCCATAGCACAGCAAGGACTGTAGGGAACTTGATTTTTCTCTTTTCCCTCTGAAGTTTCCATAATTTTCGTCCATGAAATCAAGCAATAGTAGAGTAACAGAAGAAAAAAGAAAAGACTCCTGCGTCAAAACACAGGTACTCACCTACACACAGGGAGACTCACAGGAGGGCTAGGTAGTAGAAGCTTAAATAACATTTTGAGTGTACAAAGAAATAGGGACCTGTGGCCCCTGAAGGATGGGTGGCAACAATCTATGGGAGGTGGAGAAGAAGAATACAAGGTGAACAAATGTTTTGTTAGGCAGATAAAGTCTCTCCTGTAGCTATCATCAGAAGATATGGCTGTGGTCATTTGTTTGCTTCAAGTCTTAGACCCCCAATCTCTTCTTCCTATGAAAAGATCTTCTCTAGGCAGAGAGGAAGCCCTCAGTTGGAAAAATTTCTGTGTCTGCTGTTCACTCATACAGACCTATTTAAATTGAAAGGACAGCATGTCAGAGCCATGTTTGTGTTTGCAGTTTCTCTGAATAGCCAACTTGAATATATCAAAGAAATATTTGGGATGGACTATTGTGATCTCCCTCAGGACTTACCAATAATGAAAGTGCAATGGAATTTCACTGGCTTTAAAACCATCTAGGGACCTAGTCTTTAAGCCTAAAACCTGCTGTTTACTTCTCTGAATGACATTTAACCTTGCAAATACAAATGTCTTAACCTACTACTTGACATGGGATTTTTTAGGGGATTATATATAATATATTTAAGCTACCAAGAATAGACCCTACAAAGTATTGTGGCTGATGATGATCATGCCTTAATAATTATGATCTACTATAATGTCACATGTGAAATATGTGTATTAGCTACAGAGAATATTTCATCAAATGCAGAAAATAGGATTAGCAATGTTATTAACTAGGACCACATTATACCTCAAATGCAATTAAAAACAACTACTATTTCAACTAGAGTTACTTGAATATATTGTACTCATTAAGGCCCCTACATACAAGAGATTATAGGCAAATTTTATGGAGAATTATTAAATGACCTCGGTTTTCCATTGGGAAGCAAATTCTGCATTTTCTTTTCTTTTTTATAATGCATTATCCTCATTTCATTTATCCATTCATCCATTATTTTTTTTAATTTCTTATGTACATGACAATAGTGATTATTATATTATAATAGTGTAATTATCCATTCACAGCACAAATTTTCTTAACTCTGTATATAAAGTATGTTCACGCCAAATTATGCCATTATACATGAGCTCTCTTATTTTTTATTTTTTTGCATTACAATTCATTTTCTTTTTGAGTTTAATCTAATGGTGATTATCAAGGAGACACACAGTTCTATTCTTATTGATGGGTAATTAACCTTCATAGAATATATTATAAAAATAGAAAAATTCAAATTAAATTATTTTGCTAACACTTGCTTCCAGTTTTACTATTAGGACAATTATATTTAGTCTGCTCTTCTTGATCACCAAGTAACTTGTTGATTTAATGAGATTATACAGGATATAAAGTTATACTTATGAGGTATGCTAAAACTAAACAACTTCTCAAAAAATGCAGCCATTTGCTGATACCTGATTTGAGGCTTCTTTCCCTTTTTTTTGTCCTATCCTTTTTTGTTTGTTTGTTTTTGTACATTTTAATGTTGTTCTTTTAATTAGATATCTAGGTATTGGAGTAAACTGAACACAGATATTTACAATATCTTTTAAGAATCAAGTAAACCAATGGAAACCATCTTCCACTCAATCTCTGTTGACTTTATTGTAAAATTTTGGACATTTACCTAAGATGATTGACAAAAATGTCCAAATGTAAAAACACTCTGTCCTATAAATTATTATAATCATCTCATCAAGATGTAATTGCTTAAATGCAATTAGAAAAAAGAAAATGAAGCATGAATGATTTCTGGTTGAAATATGAAATCACTACTATTCATCATGGTATATAGTTTATCTTCTAGTATTCATAAAAATATAGAAAAATCAGACCTATGGAAACCACTATTTTGCTTGTAAATATGAAATTTAAAAAATATATTTAGTAGTTTTAAATATTCTAAGATACCATGTTAAAATGTAGTACTTCCCTAAATGTATGAAACATGTTATTAGGCATATAATATACAATTCTAGTTCAACTAAATTGAAATTACAGGTTTCAAAACATAACATAGTAAGTACATATAACTTCACACTTAGTTTCTTTGGACTCTGTCTTCATATCAATACTTTATATTGTATCATTATAAAGTTAAGAGATGTTTCCATGATAATTATATTTGTGGATACTCTCCTGGAATATTAGTAATGTAGGAAAAGTTTTTAATATTTTGTGAATTTTAATAAAAGACAAAAATAGTTTGAAATAAGGAAAATTGTTTTCAATTAGCAAATCATCTCAACAATAAGAAACTAAGTCTATTATAGAAGAAAACTTCAGCCATAGGAACTTGATTAAAATTATTGTAGTTATGGGGATTATATTGAGAATTCGTAGAATATTAAAGGAATGCAATATTACATACATATATTTATATCTATTTACAGACATATTTTCATACTTGAATGTATATATGCATGTATGTATGTGTGCTTCTTTATATACATATATTTTGTCTAAAAAATTTTTAGCAAAACATAAAAGAAAAATATCTTTCCATTAAAAACTTTCATTTAAAGATAGTGCCATTCAAGAAGAACTAGAAAACTTTTAATATTATTTTCTATAAATATGTAACCTCATTAAAGGGAGATATCAATTCCTAAACATTTTACCATGTTCCATATCCTTTGTTACAATAATTTATCCCAATAATTATAATAGAAAATCAATGAGAATTTTTTAACATAATTTTATCTGCTGATATTTTATAATTCTCAGAGGTATAGAGACTTTTAAAATCATTTCTAAAGCACTCTGTTAAATAAATTTATAATCAACATTTAAAATGAATATTTTTATGCTTGTGAGGCAGATTATATTTCAAAGATATTCACATATGTATCATTACTAACAAGTGAGGAGCATTTATAGAAATCTGTTATAAGATCCTAAATCTCAGATAGAATGGCATGTCTACTTGCAGTACTAAGAAATAAATTGTTATTATGTAATGTATCAGTTAGTATTTACTGAGTAACAAATCATCTCAAAATTAGCAGCTTAGGCTTTAAGAATTTATCAATGTTTACATCTCTGATATTTCAGTAATCCAGCTAGTCTTTTCACTCATGCATCTACAGTCAGCTGGCAGGGCAGATAGGGTCTCACTAATCTACGGTGACAACAGAATTGGAATGTCACCTTAAAAGGTTTCTCCTTTTCCAGAAGGTTACTCAGATTTACACACAGGTCATAAAGAGTTTCAAGAGAGAAAGCACCAATTCATGAGGTCTCTGAAGGCCTATGCTTACAACTTGTGCAGCATTATTTTTCCATATTCTATTGATGAAAGTTGTCACAAAACAAACGAGATTTACATTGTGCTGAAATAGACTCCGCCTCTTAATGCAAGGAACTCCAAACTTGCATTAGCAAACAGAAATAGCTTCAAGGAAAGGAATAATTGCAGCTAGGCTGCAAATAATCTACCACTGGTAAATTTACTAAATCTAATTGAAGAATCTTTTGGACTCCCATGGTAAAGAATCTATTATGATCTTTCTCTAAAGCTCTACTCACTCATGCAGTCAGCTTGCATTAACCTCATCTTCAACTGTGATTCTTCCTACCATTTATTTCAGGACCCAGGTTTTTGACAAAAATCATCCAAACATGAGATGAACTTGATAGAAAATAGAAAACTCTATCAACAAATAGTGGCTGTACTGCCTCAGAATGCATTCATTCAACTAGTTGCATGATTGCTGGCATGGAGAAAAAACATGTGGCACAAAGTTGAGTGACTATGAACATTTGTGTGCACCAATGTTTGCATGGCTTATAAGTAATCAAAGATGGTGTATTCTCCAGCATGTTATTTTCATTCACTCAAGTAATCAAAGCCTCTAGCTTTTCATTTAACAATCAATCTGTCATCTTCTACTTCTGAGTCCTGTGTATTAGCAGGCATTGAAAAGCACTAGTGAATTATGACTTACAGTTGCCTTCCACTACAAACTCGCTTTGTTAGTTACTTGAATTATTATCTTTGCTCCTTAAACACAGGCATGTGGGGACTTAGGGATTAATTTTTCTTTAACCTCAGAGCAGAAAGCAGCACTTCACTGGCAGTTACCTCTCCCAGAGCCTTTTGACTCCAACTCCTATCCTCCCCTTGCATCAGTGTCTCTGAGATAATTTTTGTCAAGCATGATATATTTTGTGAAAGCATTGAACAGAACAAATGTTTTTACAATCTTGTAAATGATTACTGAAGAACTGGTTCAACAAAGTCTCACAAAATAGAAAAAAATAATCATTCATATTATAGAGGAAAACAAAAAAATAGAATAGCAAAACAATGATTCTTTGAAGAAGTAAAATATTTTTTCCCTTTCCTAAACAATAGGAAAATTTATTTTTCTTTTTGTTATCATCTTATAGAGCTGTAGTACATAGTTTAATGAAAAATTTCACTACGTTTGTTAGACAATATATTATACAGATTGATAATTATAATTTCAGCCTA